AAAAGAGACGCAGGTCAAACAAAAGTGGCGGGGAGGGTGGGGGGAGCAAAAGCAAAATATAATTTACCTACATTGGAAAGCTACTAGCCAGCATGGGCTCAACTGGAAGTGAGAGAGCTGAAGTATTGAACATGAAAAGCTTAAAATACTAGCAGTGAAGATGGGTCAGAGGGTAAAGACACTTGCATCAGCCTGGCATCCTGACTCCCACGGTAGGAGCAGACAGAGAACTAACTCCTGCTGGCTGTCCGATGCCCTCCGGTTTTCTCCTGTAGCTCACGTGCGCACCCCCAACACACACACTGGGAACACAAATAAATACATGTCCCCAAAAGACCTAAGTACTCATAAATTACAAATGCCTGTGACAGAAAATTCACTGGACAAAGTATTATTTTAAATTTCATTTTTCTATTGGGTGCATTTGTCAACTAATCACATGACTCTTGCCCACAGTCTTCAAAATTCCTCCGAGATGGGCGTTGTGACTTGTGACTCCCACGACATCCGCATGGTTATCACTGTGTTCTGGGGCCCGGCTGCTGAGGCGTGGAGCTGGGGCCCGTGTCTGCTATGTTCTCACCCTCCCGATTTCCTTCTACGTGAAATTAATTCTTCGGCATAAGAAACAGGAACTGAAACGTCTTTTCAAGACTTAGGATGTAAACAGATGTTTTCTCGTATGCATCCTAAAACCACACACCCTAACTTTATCTGAAAGACAGCAAAGGACCACCTGCCAGCTCGGGATTGCTCCCTCCCTCCCAGGGCAGCAGGTCAGACTGCAGAAGTTACACTACCCCTACCCAAATACAAGTGCCATGACGGACAGGAGTGTGCACAGCCAAAATACACCACTGTTGTACTCACTCCAGCATTGCTCTTCTAACAAACATATAAAGACAAGTAATATTCAAAGATACTCGTCTCCCTTACATATTTTAAGATTGACAGCCACACTTCAGGTCAATTGGAATAATCATATCAATGTTTTTTTTATACCCCAAACAATCTAAAGCAAGATTTTCATAAAGGATAATTAAGCAAGCTAATATCGTAAGAAGTCGAGCACACAATAAGAATGTGTGCGGAAATACCTGCTTTGTGTAATTCAGAACTGGTGTTTCAGGAGATTAACAATTATGATCGCCAGTCCTCTTCTGATTCTATAATACTCCACACAATCTTTTTTAAATTACTTTATTAACCTTTCCTCCCAGCACAGAAGTGCCCGATTATAGATAATATTTCCAAATCATCTGAGGTGTAAGTGTATTTGATTTGCTCGGTAATTATTTGTCTACTTTATTACTCTGGCCAAGCACATGCGCTCCTTGACCAGCTCCATCTCAAGTCCAGTTAAGAACGGGGTCATATCCTTCTGTGCTTTGTTCGTTTTCGGCACTGAAGTCCATGAAACTTCCCCATTGGAGACCGGGCTGGTACCTGGGAACACAGCACATGTTAAATATGGAAAAACCATACTGTGCGCTGTCGTTCAAGCTTTAAGAACCCTGGGCTTAATGGAAAGAATGTTGCTCAGAAGTGAAGGATGGAGTTAATTCCCTGCGTGACTGGGAGGGGGAGTGTAGGTTCGAGCATGCAAATGTCCCTTGATAACTCCTAAAAGCCTATCATTCATATCCATCTGATGGCCTTGCCCCAAGGCCTTTATCTGTCCCTTGTCATTCATACCACCTAGGACATTGCTTCCAGTTTGGTGTGACTCAAGTATGCATTTTGGGCATCTACAGGAGCTCACACAGACAGGAAGGGACGTAATATGATTAAATGGGGAACATCACAGGGCCTGCCATTTTCAAAGGGACTTAGAGAAAAGAAGCCACTGAGAATCAATCTTGGATTTGTAGGGGGAAAATTTGTCTGCAGCAACTTCATAAGTGTACTTACAGATAACTTATAACGGAATAGTGCAAGGCACATGGCTCACTGTGGAAGGCCACCACCAGGCTAAAAATGCAAAGCCACGAGTGTGTTGTCCACAATCAACCAATCTTGAAATTTCCATATGTAGAAGGATTCCAAGACTGTGTTAGAAATACAGGACTCCAGCGTTCAGTTCAGTCACCCATGGAATTACAGTGTAGGGTACGGATGCCAGTATTTTAGACCCAAACCGAGCATAAAAAAAAAAAAAAACCCACAAAATAAAATTCAGTGTCAGCACAAAGTTGACAGCAAATGATTATAACAGCTCCAAAGCTTGAAAAAGAGTGTAAATAACTAGTAACCCCCGCGGGCTCACTCAGCCTGCATACATAACAAACCTGATGGACAGTCTCTGTGGTAAAGGCAGAACGGGGCACCGGGAAAGATGCGAAGATTCCGCCAACCAAGAGCCAGGACTGTCACCTTCCGGACTAAATCAGCTCCTTCCACGCAGGGAGGGAAGCAGCGCCCTGGGTGCAACTCAGCAAGGCCAGCGGGCCTCGCCTCCAAGCAGGAATGTTAATTATCGGCTCTTAGGCGGTTATCAAGGCTCTGCAACCCCACCAGCGTTTGCACTCTGCGAATCCTCCTTTCTCTGATCTTTAATCCTTGGCACTTTGAGTCCATAAAAGATTGTGATTCTGCCCGACTCTGCTCATTTTACAACGGAAAAAGAAAGGCAAAAGGAAAACCGTCCTCTGCTCCGCACACAAGTCTGAACTTAATGGGGTGCTTGGAAGAAAAGGGAATTTGTTCCTCTCTGTATGCATTTATACAAACAAATGTGCAACCACCCAAACCTGTCTCTGGCAAGGGGTGTTCACAAGTGCTGAGAAAAAGACAAGTACTTCCTTTTCCTGCCTTGGCCTCAGCCCTGAGTGACAGACTTCAGCTCTGAGAAGGCAGGGCACTGTCACCACCAGTACTAACAAACCCAACAGGGCAAAGAAAGCATAGAGGCCTTCTGCGCATGCCTAGAGACCACTCCACAGGTCCTAGATTCATTTACAAGATAATTAATCAATTAGCAAATGATCCTTTCACCTTTATTTTTTATTTACGAGGCAGGAGACCTACATCTCCAAATCCAATGGCAGACCACTGGGATTCCAACTTTGCCCTTCAAACGCATTGGTCTTATTTATCTGAACGGAGCAGATGCTTTACCGTGCCAGCCGTGGTGACTGGATTGTTTGCTATTAGAACCCGAGTAAGATTTAAGCTAAGCGGAAGAACATAAATATGACATCTTATAGACATTCATGATGATCAACTGTGTTGTATAGTCTCCAGCCATGACTACTTATTCATATAGGGAAAGAGGGAGCAAATACACTTGACATTGCTAAAAGGGAAGCGACAGTCATTGGAAGGACAGGCGAAGACGAGGCTCGCACGGCCGTTGCTCTTGAGGACAACTCTGGGGTCTTTAAATGCAATTAAATTGCTGCAGTGTGTACATCCTGTTATAGGCTCAACACTTCTCGTTTCTTCCGGAGCTCCCATGTTCTATGTGATACCTCTTTGGAAAGCAAAGATTGTCAAGCAGCTTTTGCTTAGGGACCAGAATGTTTATCAGGTCTCCCAGACAACCATGGCTGAGTGGAAGGTCTGACAATGATACCATTCCCCTCAGATCCCACCTTGGATCTGAGCTTTGGCCAAGGGGCATGGCGGCTGTGCAACCCTTTTTCCTCTTGGGGCTGCAGGAGCCTGTCCCATGGAATATGAAAGTGGAAAAGAGCTGGGCATGCTGACTGACGCATGGCTGTAATTCCAGCACTCAGGAGGCTGAGGCAGGAGGATATGAGTTAGAGAACAGCCTACATTAAACGGTGAGTCTCTCTCTAACAGAACACGAAGGAAAAAGGAAAAGAAAAAGGCGGGGAAGGGAAGGAAAAGGAAGGGAGCTGTGTGGTTGTTAACCCTTCATTCCTTTTACTGCGACCACCCCCACCTTTCCCCATCCTTCTGTAATAACCGTTGCCAGATGGGATAACACCAAACATCTGATTTAGCCAGGGTAGGTGGCTGAGTCTGTCATTAGCTAAATAATCAGAAAGTCTGGGTCTAAGGCTACACTTTTGAGACAGTGATTATGTATAAATTTACTCCTTTGTGCACAGAACAAAGACAAACTCGTTCATTTCTCCAGCCATGGAACACTGAACTCCGGGTGTACACACGGCAGGGACATACTGTCATCCACTGTCGTTAGGACAGCAGTTCTCAACCTGCCGCTCTCATCTCTTTGGGGGTTGAATGACCCTTTCACAGGGGTCTCATATCAGATGTCCTGCATCTCAGATATCTACATTGCGATTCATAACAGTAGCAAAGTTACAGTTATGAAGTAGCAATGAAATAATGTTTTAGTTGGGGGGGCGGGTCACCACAACACGAGGAACTGTATTAAAGGGTTGCAGTGTTAGGAAGGTTGAGAACCACTGCCTTAGGGGCTTCAGAATGGGCTCAGAGACCTATGATCAGTCATCTGACTGGGGTCAACAATAAAAGAGTTATATGGAAAACTTCTCTAACCCTTAACTCTGTTTTAAAAAAACAAAAAAGAAACAAATTTGAATGCTTAAAAGAACTGTGAGACCTCATAAATGAGAATATTAGAGAAAGACCCTCGGAATATGAATGCCCTAAAAACAAACCAACGACAAACCCCATATCCCTTTTTACCTTGAGAAGACAACTGAAGGAGAATGGAGAAATGTGAGCAGAGACAAATGCTACTGGTTAGTGGAGCTGAGCTAACCATAACCAGACTTTTCACACACAAGAATAAAAGTCACAACAGTGAACCCTGGACACATTATTTCTCAGCAAAATCAGCACAACCCAACAGACCTGACATTAAAATTTCAGAAGGATCCCGAACTGTCCACGGATCATCAGCAGAGCCATACCGCAGAGTTTCTTTTTATGGGTTTGGCAGCGTAGGTGTAATAGTATTAATAGTTTAATGTTTGATACATATTGCCTGTGATGCATTGCTTGCATAAATAAAAAGCATCAACATTCAATTGCCACTGAAATAATCACACAGTCTAGATCTTTATTATATCATGCATTATTTAATTACAATAATCAGAGCCCTTCTGAAGGTAAAACAAGATTAAAAAGGTTTTGTTTTATTGGATCTATATATTTGATTTAAACTTTACATGTTAGCTTTACATTAAGAATTTATAAGGCATCAGTTCAAATGGTGCTATTATAAGAGTTTATTTCTTTTATAATTAGTACAGTACTCTTAAAGTACTCTATGAGATAATATTTCAGTATTTTAATGAGCTTTTTAAGTGTAATTGATGTAACAATCATTGAATTACACATTTATACCTGAAGAATAATGAAGGAAACATTTTAATGAGAAATTTAATCATTATTAGCAAATGATCTACTAAACTGCCATTTGCTGACATTTAAAAGCTTAATAGAAGAAAACTGTATTTTCCTCCATCGGCATCGGCATTGATGGTGATTGCTTTTCTGTTACTCCGATTTCCCAGGTTCACTTTCCACCACCACTAATGTATTTATAAATTTGAGAAAACTTTCTTTAACCCACCCTTGTCAGCTCCTTCCAGAAAATGTGGGACTTGACACGTCGAGGGATAATTTAAATAAATTAGCCCCTTTCCAGCCTTCAGCAGTTTTCAGCATAAAAGGGTTCTTTCTGTGACTACTCACGCTTGCATCAGCTTGATTTTGATGAATGCCCTGCGAATTCCCTGATAGTACCTCAGACAGAGATCTTAGACCAGTGTCAACAGGGGCTGCGAGAGCGCCTTCATTTCCAGCACACATCAGCATTCAAGGCCTGAGAGACAGCGGGGGCAAGGGGAGTCACCAGTGGGGTAAGCAGAATACCCATGCCAAGGGAAAAAGGCTTAGAAAGGAGACATAGTAAAATCTGTAACACTGTGTTTTGAAGCTAGAGACCCCAAGACAATACCAAAAGGTCTGCATTTGTGGAATTGGAGCTGAGGTCCAGGCAATGCCACCTCTGGTCAGTGTGCATGCCAGGGAGGCATGATGTCTTGGGCAAGGACCCAAAGGGACCATGTCATTTTTCCACTCCACCTTTACCAGTGGGCAGCATGCCTTGGTATTTCTGTAAGAGACACTCCTTTCCAGACTACTGCAGCGGAGTCGAATGTCAAGGTGCAGTACACATGGTTCTCTGAGAGATTTCATCCATCTAGAAAGAAGAAGAGAGTTTGGTAGAAACACACTGTTAAACAACCAATACACAGTGAGATATTCAATTTCTGTGCACACATGTATGCATGCATTGTGGGGGCTGAGTGTGACAGAGAGAGAGAGAGAGAGAGAGAGAGAGAGAGAGAGAGAGAGAGAGATAGGTACAGGTGCCCTCAGAAACCATAATCAGGCCTCAGACCCCCAGAATCTAGAGATACAGGCACTTGTGAGGTGGTCAGTTTAAGTTTTGGAAAGTAATCTGAGGTCATTTGCAAGAGCAAGTGTTCTAACTTCTGACCTACGGCTCCAACCCAATACCATTTTGTAAAGTAGCTCATTTTAACTGTTCAACAGGTTCTATTAAGCACTGTATCTTGGTATATAATTGCAGCAATTACATTCCCCCCTAGCTCTTCCTTAACCCCTTCCTCACTGTCTCTTCTTCCTTCCCCACCCTTAGTAGCCCCTCGTTTATCTTCATTCTCTTTGACTTGCAATCATATTTTTGTTTAAGTGTTGCGCTCGGAGTCACAGTGGGAGTGGATTGGATTCAGGAAAGAACAGATGGTAGCACATGGTTCCCACCAGTCCCCTGCCTTGATGACCTCCTAAGTCCATCTCAAGTCAAGAGGTGCTGTGTTTGGCACAGTTCTCCTTGCCTCCTCTGCCCTTCTTCCCCTTCTGCTCCCCTCCCTCCCCTCCCTTCCCTTTCTCTCCTCTCTCCTCCTCGCCTCTCCTCTCCTCTCCTCTCTTCTCCTCTCCTCTCCTCTCCTCTTCCCTCTTTTTTCCTTTCCTCCCCATCCCATCATTTTGCATGTGCTCAAAAAGATTTTAGATACACTTAACTTTTTTTTCCAGCACAGCTGAGGGAGCTTGTTTCTATGACTGACTATGCACTATAGCCAGCACCTTGGTGACACCTTCAGCCCTGATGGACTGTGCAGGAAAACCTCCCCTATCCTCTTGAGTGCCCAACACCCAGACCTCCTATTGGACACCAGCAATAGATTATGGCAATAATAAAAAAATGCAGAGGGTTAGAGCATCCAGGAGATATGGATAGACCACCTTTGAAGTGAAAGGGAAAATGGAGAAATCTCAGCTTCTTCATCTGTTGGCTTGGATAACAGTGGCACAGGTTGTGATACTGGTGTTATTCATTATAAGAGATAAGATTCCAGCATCCAAATACACTGGTCATGATGTACTGGGCCATATTTAAAGATTATGCATAAACCACTTCTGTCCTTATATTGGAAAATAAAATTATAACAGACCTCAAGTAAGAGGGTTCTTTTCTAAATAAAGGATAATAGTGACATAGAAAATTGTTCATGTGTCATGTTAGAAAGGAATTTTGGGTAGCGCAGAACTTTATTTATTGACAACTTTCTTGAGATTTAGATCGTATGTGTTTATAGGTACAATATGCAATCATAGAGAAGTAGGATATGTTGAAACAACTTTCTGATTATAATTTTATGTTAATAAACACATTCCCTTAAAACCCCACATCAAAACCAAAAATATAGAAAAATCTTAGGATATGTGGTAAGAAATGTGAGCATATTTTCAAGGAATCTAGGCAAGGATTAGCCATCAGAAAGTTTTACCAAAATAGTATTCGAATGGTATTATTCAGCTGAGGATAATATACTGAGATACCCTGAAGTATTAAATATGAGCCACCAAATTTCCATTAACACACATTTTGTGTTGCAGCAGGACAAGAGTTATGCCTGTGCACTGGAACAATTTCACTGTCTCAAGATGAAAGGTGCGGCATTCTTCAAGATAAATAAATAAATTACTATTATTATTATGTGTAGCACTAAGCCAATGCAAAATAAAAGGGAGCATTTTCTAGAATGTGGAAGAACATTGCCTCCTGAGAGCATAATGAAGTGAGCCCAGGCAATAAGCGGCACTACGCAAACGGCAGTGCGGTGATAAAGGGCAGCCCCGTGAATTGTGCGGTAGTTGTGGATGCAATTTAATTCCTTCAAGTGTGCCACAAAATATTCTGATATTCAAGAGTGTGCCATTAGTGCAGAAAAGGGCATACAGGTGGAAATCAGAGAAAACTAGAACAAGAATTAGTTCAAACGGAAGCTGCTGTTTGAACAAAGCCTCCGTTTTTTTATAAACAGTTAAGGACTCTCGTCTTCTCTAATCACCTTGGTTTCACTCGCTGTGTTAGACTCCCAAAGACTAGCTCGTACAGTTAGCAAACCAGATATAAACAAATGGTCCATAAAAAAAAACTAAAAAAAGAACCCTGCACCTTTAAAAGTCTCCATCTAAAGGTCCTGGGAGTATGAGATGAAACCCACGGAGAAGGTTAGCAATGGCTGACCTCAGGGCAGCATCATGTTGCTGCCAACAAAGGTGGTCAGAGACAAGTTCTTATGGCAGCCGTTGGGCCCTGCTCCCAATTCAGGCGATGCTCCTCATCACACAAAGGCTTACACAGAAGATCGGAAACTGTTATGAAGGGAGATTCTTTAGCTCTCATTTGAAGAGATGGTTTTCATACAAAATATATGAAAGCTCCCTATGTAGTCCCGAGTAAATTTAATGAGTCCAATTAAAGCTTTAGACCTACTTTATTGGGACACTATCTGAGCTAAGTGAACCATATTTGGAATGGGTACACACAGACTTACACTTCACACACATGCACGTGAGTACACACACACACACACACACACACACACACACACACACAGAGAGAGAGAGAGAGAGAGAGAGAGAGAGAGAGAGAGAGAGAGAGATTTTCCTGGGACAACACCCAGTGCCACTAAGCTCCTATCTTTCTCAGAAGTCACTCTACCTCTAATGACTTGTTTAACTGGTCCACATTGACTTGTGGCTCCATCCTTTTCCTGATACTTTGCTGCTAATTACTTCCAAGAGGATACTTGGCTGAGATATTTATTTGAAGGGGAGTATGAGTTCCATTTGAGCAATGTTTGAAGGACTAGTGGTGTCCATTCCTTACAAGTACATTTAAGTGAAGACTCACGGCTTTGGGAAGTGTGGTGATCTGTGAAGAGTCAGTTCATGAGAAAGACATGTGCGCTAACAGGATGGTTCACATCAACATGGGATACAATTGTTTTAGAAGGAACTACTGGACTCCAGTCTCTCACAGTCTAGAAACACTGCCCAGTAGCTCTACAGTGGCTCTTTAGTCTACACAGGCCTTAGTTCCATAGAGTTGTTTACCTTCATAATCCCTGGATAGTTCCTACTTTCTATGTGTTATTAAAAATCAGATCCAGTTCTACGTTCTTTGAAACCTAGAGCCAATGACTGCAACAGAGAGATTAATTTCACAGAACATTATTCTGGGCCAGTAAATCAATAGCAGAGGTCATAACAGTTGTGGTTTTCCGAGATACCGTCCCATCTCTTGTCAAAGGGCAGGGGATTTTTGGTACACAGGTGTTGGCTGGGATCAGTCGATGGTGTGGGGCACAAGAGGTCAGGCATTCCTGCAGTGGTGCTCTTGGTGCAGAGGGAGACAACGACTATGAAAGCCTTTGTGGATGGGTGTGAAACCTGTCACCTTCCCAGGGATATATGGATATATGGCTATATCCAGGGATATAGTCATAGGGGACAGTAGCAGAAGAAAGGAAGCTGGGATATATCTTAAGAGGACTCAGCTAAGAAGCACAAAACAAGCTGCTATCTAGAAATGTCTAGCACCAAAGTGTAAGGAAGCTGAAATCCTCACAAAGCATGCAGAGAAGCCATGCATGATGGCCGCTGTAGTTTGGCTCTCTCTTGGGGCAGCATGGCAGAAAAGTGAAGGCAGGCTCTGGGAACTCTGGAGAGGAAACATTAACTCTGTGAGCTAAAAAAATTTAGTTATTTTTTTCCTTTCTCAAACCTGACAACCATTTCCATGTTAACGCCCTAGAACCTTTCAAAACATGGACTGAGGACTTAATGTGGTACTTTGTAATTGTCGGAACTTTTATTAATAATGTTTAATTCTAGCTCTGTAGATCCATCAGGCAAAACTTACTGACATGTTTAAAAAAGCAAATGAACCTGTGAAATAAAGTCAGGGCCAGGAACAATTTTGGAGCTCTAGTTGTTAAAAAGAAGAAGAAGAAGGAGAAGAAGAAGAAAAGAAATAAGTCTGGACGTAAATAAGTGCTGCAAGTGAGCAGTAAAACATCCCAGCAAGTCCTCAAGATGTTGGTTGAATACGGATTTTGGAGCCTAGGATTTAGCTATTTATTTTGAGAGCAAAGCCATGGGTGTGCTAAGAAAAACGTACAGCCATTTTTATGGCTTGACTTTTTATTATAGGAACCTTGTGTGGAGGCGGTCCAGATACAGTGTGGGCCGTAGTAAATGCTACAGACTAGAGTCACATTGCTGAGTGGCTGAGAACTCTTGGGCCAGGCTAGTTAGAAGTGTTCTTGCACACATCACTTCTGCCAGGGAGCACCAATTGAAAACACATGGACATCACTGAGGGGAAAAACTCTTCTGTTCCATCAGAGTTTATCAAAACAGGGAATTTAGAATTAGGTCCCAAGATTTCTATTTTTGGTAAGAAGCTCTTAAATGAACAGTAGGGCTGAAAGCTTGTCTTTGCTCTTCAGTAGAGGGAGGGCAACATGTCCACATTAACTGCTACTTAAACAAAACGCAAAACAAGAACTCTAAAGACCAGGTGACATAAGATTTTCTAAGACACTTGTGCATCAGACAACTAAGGGCAGTGGTCTTCAAGGAGCGGGAAATAATGAATGAGCCCCTCCGTCACTCTTGCAGGAGCTCTATGGGTCTCCAGGGTGGAGAACAGGCCAAACTCAACCATACCCTTAGCTAAGGACATAGAGTTGGGGTGCTAGAGGGCAAAAGCACGGAGAGTTGAGCAGAAAGAGAAGCAATGCAGTTGTCAGAGAGTCCTGGAGTTAGCTTGAATTCTCACCAGCACAATTGCCTGAGACACTGTGAAACTGAGAAATACCC